TGGCAGCTCCCTGCAGAGACGCTGCGTGCGCGTGTGTGGGCTGTGTACACATGGTACCACCAGCCCTTCCAGCATGTTCTTATTGCATCCATCGCCCTTGACTGCTGCTCCTCTACAGGTTTAGGGGATGGCGGCTGCAAATACAGATTTTGTTTTCAATTTGAATTGCAAAATCTTCTCATGACGACCGCACCCCGGGGCTCATTGAGTCAGCCAAGCCCACAAGTAGTGCTCAATTTTAGTCTGTTGGGGTTTTAGATTTGTAATTATCCCTTTAATAAATTGAAGTGCCTCAGCTTAATAATAATAATACTAATTAATAGTTCATCATTTTGATTTGGAACACGCTGTACAGTATTCGCTCACTCTTGAAGAGAGAATCATTGTGGCGCGATAAACCACAAGACGTGGGAAGGCCGCCAGGTGCTGAGCGAGCCGGCGCCAACAATTGTCCAAGCTCTACGTCCTCCGGCATATTCAGACATTTAGTGTTTACTTGTGAGCGGAAATCGCGTCGCCAAGAGAAAACCCACCCATACAGGTGGAACAGATGTAGTCCACATTTTCTGTGACCACCTTCTCTTGGTAAGCCAGGGAATGGCACCTCTAAATGCCAATGGGAAATAAGTTTCACAACATTTGTGTGGCTCACGAATACTCTTCTCCACAGCGCTGGATTTCAAGCATGCACCACCACCACCCGGCATGATTGCGTGAATTGGCTTTGATCTCAATACTACTTGAGTAATTTTATTGCATAATTAAAACTTACTGTAATTTACCCCCCTTTATTACATATTCACTGCAGCTGAACATGAAAGAAATGTGCATTTCTCCTTCTGCCATAAAAATTAGAACCGTAAAAATGTTTTCTTAATTATTAGTACACTCCGTGTGCCCTAATGTAGTCAATTCATAAACACACTACAATTAATTATGAAGATGAAGGAAACTCGATTTTTCATAAAAGGGTACACTCATGGAGGCAAAGTGGACACCAGAGGTCCACGGAATAATTTAATTTATTTCATTAAATAACAATATATCCATCTTTTTGCTTAGAGTATGGTGGTGGAATCGTAACAAAGGTAATTGATCAAGAAAAGGACATTGAAGCAATGTTATTAGCTGCGGTTTGAAGGCCACTGTGCCCGTTGTGGTCACTACGTTTGGGAAATTTCGGCATTTGGTGGAGCTCATGATTATTCCTTCAGAGATGGCTGCCATTTTGGACAATGAGGAACATTGACCTCAACTCTAGGATATCATAAGTTTACGTCTCAATTCAGTGTATATGATAAATGTGGTCTTTTAAAATGTATGCCTGTGCAACGCTGCCAACACACAAGTTTCAAACTACACGCAAACATGTGTTTAGAGCGCACAGGCTCTGCATATCCATACACCATCAGCATTTCCTGAAGAAGCTCAATATGTTCCTTTAATCCGAGATAAGAATCTAAATAAACGTGATCAGTTGTGAACAACTGACAGGCATCACTCATGCGGTAATAGACACCGGTGCTGATGAGTCATTCGGTCACATTTGCTGAAATTTATTTTGATGGTGACCTATGATTAAAACACCACAAATCACGTGTTCAAGATATGCTGATGGTTTCTGCATATTCACAAATGGCTGTAATTTTTACACATGTTTGTGACTTGTCTGCACTTATTCTATCATGATGTGTTTTTGTCATACATTTACAGATTTCAAATACTGCCAACAATAGTCCACATAACTTCTTTGTGTTTTAAAGTACTGCCAGTTGTATTTCCTTTCCCTTCATGTGTTCTGTATTCCATATACTAAGTAATATTTATAAATACTTTTTTCAAAACATGCTTTAATGAAATGTACCGTACGAGTAATGGCAGAACTCCACGACTCCAGGAAGTGGCCCTGAGGCTTGCCACAACGTAAGGGACCGTGGTCAATTACAGCCAACGTTAGTTGAGCGTGGACAATTAGACCCAAGGCGAAACATAACATGTAAAAAAGATCGTTGAAAAATATATTTTACATTTTTAATGATAGAATATAGTATTGTCATCAGTAAGACGTAAGTTTACGAAGTTTGCAGTCGATGGCACATTGGGAAATGGGTTAAAATTGAATTGCAAGATTTGAGGTATACGACGACAATAACAGACAGTGAGTTAAATAAAAGCGTGTAGAATGCAGCAAAGATGATCATGCTGATGATAGCCAGGGCAGTGTGGCACAGACTCGGCCTAGCATGAGCGTAACGGTGCCCACTGTGTGCCCTTATCATTTGCTTCTTTCAAGCCCAAATAAAATGGCTCTTTACAAGATAGTGAACTATAATAGAGACCGCTCGGGCTGGAGACTTGGAGCTTTTCTGTGCTATTGCACTCAAGGGAGACTGCAGAGTACTGCATGTCTCCTTAACCACATGATGATTTCAGGGCTGAGAAGATTCTCAGTTGATCGTTTAAAATGTTTATATTCTAAACTTTGATGTCTGTGTTGCATCTCTACTTTAAAGTGACACTTAGATAGCTACACATGGTGGCTTATGCCATCATGCTGTTATTGTGATTACAGGCGTTTTAATAGTATCCTGCTCGGTCGGAGGGAGGTGGCGTTAAGGCTTGCTGGGTCACAGGGATCTGTGATGGCAGTGTCACGCACAAGTGCTGCAGTTGGGATGCAGATCGCAGTGCATTAAATATCGGTTTGATTTAAGCAGTCTAAACACATTTCAGAAAAAATATTTGTTTATGCGGAACTTATGAAGCAACATTTGCCCGGTACGTAGCATCGAGGAAAGCTTGCAGCGGTGGTGTTGACGTTTTATACAGACTCGAATAACAGCCTACTGTGAATCACTGCTGCCTTGGCTATTGATGTTTGGATGTGTCGTGAGAGATTTTAGGAGGAAAACATTTCTCTTTGGGGTTTGACGATGAAGCTCTGAAACTTGTGCTCTCAAGCCAATGTCGCAGGACAGGTGCCATCGGTCTTCGTACGGGCTTGACCACGTTTGTGGCGGCATGCAGGGGGCACGTGTGTCTGTGCCGGCGTGTGGTTTGTGAATGTAACAAATTCGTTGGGCGTAATACCGTCTAATTAGCCCCAGCTTAGGCGGTACTTGCCACGGCATTGCGAAGAAGTATAGCTACTCCAACACCGGTAATTACGTTCCTCCAGACACACTAAACAGTTCTCGGTTTACTTGCTGCCAGATATGATTAATGCCATGTGCGAGTAGGGAGCCGCCGTTGTTTGTCATTGATAGATTCTGCCGCTAATGATGAAGCATCGCCTTACCTCTTAAGGCATTAGGCAAATTGGCTCGCGTGTCGTTGAGCACGGATGCTGCGGTACGTTTTATCACTTTATGGCAAATCATTTTACAAGGTGGTATTTTCCAGGGTGGCCTGAACTTGAGCACACGAAGCTAACTGATTTACATTACAATTAACGTTTGTAATTAACGGATGTTAACAGGTTTTGTGTGTGTGCAATTATTTGGAGATTAATCTCGGATAGCTCCTTTCATTGGGTTAAACATTGCTCATGTCAAGGTTATTGTGGCCAAGTGGGTGGGTGGGTATGCAATTCCATCTCTGCGGCTATATTTACCAGAACATGACTTAGTCGGCTTTTATTTATTTTTTAACAAAAAGTTTTACCACTTTTATCGTGTGTTTGCTCAGTGTTGTGATATTTTAAAATGTAGTTACCAAAACCCATTTTAATGTTTGACCCATAGTAATTTAATGACAACTCTCCATAGAATTCCTCTGTTTTACACAATGAGTTTGCTTGGGGGGGAACATGAAAGTGGCATCATTCAGACAATAAATAATACCATACAGCTAATGATGGCGTAACCTCTGTGAGTTACTGTTATTGGTATTTCTAAATGTGAACTTTTATATATTTGAAAAATTTGTCTTAATCATAAAGCACTTTAGATTTGTCGTATCAATGAAGTAGACGTGCACAGTTGATTGTACTTTGTTGTTACTGTGCACTCGCTGGTTTTGTTTTTTCTTCAACATAAGTGCATCCAAGAGCACACAGAATCATGCACAGGTGCCATGTTTTGATAGGTTAAGCTCGGGGTAAGCAGAGTTTTGGGACAATCTTAACCATTCAATCCCATTATTACAGCAAACTACATATGGACCAAAGCATGATAAGTAAGCAGTGACATTTTGGCAAGGCTGTTGGTCAATGTGCTCATCGTTTGCGTGAGCAAAGCCACGTTCTTCGTTTTTTTCTGTGTTTTTGTCTACACATTTTCTCGTTTGCCCACATATTTGTGTCTCTTAGTGATTGTGGATCTATCTGTGCAACTCTGTGTGTGTGCCTTGAGAGAAGATGGACATGGTTATTGAACTGCACCATTAAGCTAAAAACTATTAAAAAACTATTTTTATATTTCAGGGAAATGCCCACTGAGCTATGTAGCTCTTTCTCAGAAGTGACCTGGCCACACTTGATAGCTTGGCAAAGTGGCTTATCACGTGGACATTTATAGCAGGCAAATACTAATGCAAGTTTCTAATTGTGGAGAGAAACACCGGAGGTCCTCGATAAAAATCCACATGACCACGGAGTACATGCAAACTCCAAATATACAGGCGTCGGGGTTGGGATTGAACCCACGACGACCTCCTGTATACCAGGCGAGGTAGTGAACATATCGCGCCATTGTGGCGCCCTCTCTCCACCGTGGCAGCGAAGGTTCACTTCCTGGTCGTGCATACCAGTAGAAGTTAGTTTATGTACCTGGTGGGTGTCGCTCAGGGTGAATCACCCTACAACGTGTGCTTGCGATGTGTATTATCATGGGCCTTGGACACCAAGGTGGCCAGGTTTAGTGCTTGCCCTAACGACATCGCTGTGTGCGGTTTTTGGCATTGTTAGGCATTTACAAGCAACACTTGCTCTCAGCAGCTGAAAGAGGAAGCATTTGTGTGTGTGTATGACCTTTAGTGTGCTGTGTGCTCCTCCTCGGCAGGTTATTCTCAAGCACTTTTACCTGAAGAGGGTGGAGATAATGGCACAGTGTGAGGAGTGGATCGCCGACATCCAGCAGTACAGCACAGACAAGCGCGTGGGCCGCACCATGGCACACCATGCCTCCGCGCTCAAGGTACTGCCCCAAATCCTGTCCTGTAGCAGCTGCACGAGACCTTGTGTCGTAAAAAAAAATAATGCTTCACCATTTATCTGAAGCTAATACCGAGGTGCGGTCCTTGCAGGGTTGGTTGTAAAACATTCGTCATGAAATCCTTAACCATGAGTTTAAGCTGATTTGTTGTGCTAATATGACAGTGCATGTGAATGTCTTAATTCGGTGCCTAGTTTATTGTATGCAACTGCTTATAAGCGTAGTATTGATGAATGCAATTATTCATGCTGCATTCAGAATTGGATATATTAAATGAATAGTTTTTGATTTCAAAATTGGTCCAATTTATTTAAGATGTTTTAAAATGCTTTAGAAGCATCTTACTACGTCGTCTTATTTAGTACATTTGTAAGTGTGTGAAAATCGGCACATGTTTCAAGGACCTGGGCTCCCAATTGCTGATCAGGCATGAAGTCGTCGGGCAGATGCCTTTGCTTAGCCCAGCATGTACCCAGCCGGTCATGTGTGCATGCCCCTGGCTAAACATCGAATTTATAATTGCCAGCCTGTAGGCTGCACTAAAGTCGAGCAGTCACCTGCTATTGCTGTTAAGCTGATCTGGTGTCTACACAAATGCACACAAACGCACACACGTGCAACTGCTCGCTGAACACGTGCATACAGACAGTATGCTACAAAGAATACACTTCTACTTGGGAGAGCAATTAGCAGTTATCTGAGCCATTTAAAGTAAAACATGTAATATATCTTTAAATCAAAAATTGAGTAATAAAACATTTTTATAGGTGCAATTAACTTAGTCGTATTTTATTTAACATTTACATCTCAGGTTAATTTAATAGTTCGTAATGGAAAGACTGATGAGTAATAGGCTCAAATTGCAATTTTAAATTGATGATCTTATGGATTAAATCAATTCTCTTTTATCACGGATGGTGTTGAGATGATTGCCTTGCATTGCTTCCTTTGCATTCTCTGTTGCAATTGGCGAAGACAGCCTTTCCGCTCACGGCTACAGGAGCGCACGTTAGTCATCGCAGCCCTTCATCGCAGTAATGCGATCCCACCTCCTTTCTACCATCATTCAGATAAATTCAGTTTATGCAGCAGACGACGGGATAACTCCTGCAAACCCTTCCTGTTTATACGCCACAGACCATAATCCTGTTCCGAGGCAAAGCTCGTCCCACACCAGCGTGTGGATTGCCTGCCGCTCCTGGAGTTAATATGCTTCTCTCTCTTTTGCCACATTGTTTTATGCATTAGCGCCCAGCTTGAGCCCTCCATCTGTCTTGTGTTTTGAAGGCAGAAAGGGATATATAGAAAAGAGCCTGGAGCGCGACCATTAATCTGGACAGAGTAATTTGGCTCCGTTGGTTAGAGAATTATAAGCAGCCTACACAGTATTTTATGATCCTGTCAGCTGCTATCGGAGGCTCTGCTTGAAATTCCACCCTTCCCATTTACCTCCATGCTGTTGTATTTATCAAGTGTTTGATTCTTTTTTTCAACGGGCCATTTTTGCTCCCACTGTTTTATAGCAAAACGATACCTGCTGTGCTCTTGTTACATTCTGGGCTAGCCACATATCTTGATTTAAGGTCGCCCCCAGTGCTCGCACATGAGCGCCAAGCGACACCACGTCAAAAAACCAGCCTGGAAGGTGGATCAATGAGGAGTGCGCTTGCACCGGTGTAAATCGTGGAACCTCAATTGGCTTATCATATAAACAACCATCTAATTTGCTTTTATTGATAAATTAAAAAGCTCATTATGCCCCTGGGCTCAATAAAAATGGGTTTGACTTTGTGGACACTCAATAGTGGTTCTCCTGTGGACAGACTGACCCCTGCCATGTGAATGTGTAATTTTCCACCACTGGCTCAGGGGCGTCTACAAAGGTGAGCAAGCCATTGGCTCGTTTAAACTTGAAACCAATTTAACGTAATTTTCCGTAACTTTATTTCCACAGCACTCTTAAAATATGCATTAATCTAGTTGTGGTATCACTTATTTGTGTAGACTTGTATTTCACAGCACCAATTTTATAATACCTTGACTGAAATCAATTGTGGCAGCGTTGCGAGCACCTTCATTACACTGCATTGCACCGCATTTACACTGCATTGCGTAATATAATGCCGTGCCAGAGCAATAGACAACGGCCTACTTGCTTACCAAGTGCAGAACCTGGGTCTCTGGATGCAGCCCTTGGACAGGCATTGGGCAGGCATAAGACCTGAATAAAAATGGTGTTTTGTGGTGTCTTGTCATACATTTTTGGAAAGCTGGAATTTCGATGAATTTTTTTAGTGTTTTGGTCCTTTTTCATGATTATGCTTCATTATGTTGTGATCAACAATCTCCACCTTAACACTAAATTAGAGCGCTTAAAAACATCATCACCAATTGCAGAGCAGCTGATGATTGACCAGCTGTTACTTTTCTTGAAAGCAGCAGAACGAGGGTGGTTGTTCAGGCACTTACCAGCACTCCTGACAAGCTCTCAGAGGCTGAAGACCTCGTCACCAGGGCAGCTTCACCTCATCATGAGGAGCAGGAAGCAGGTGCAACTGTGGAGGTCACTAAAACCTTTGAGCTCACTCAAAAGGTCAGACACCCAAGCATCCGGCTGCGGATGTGTCGACCTCCGAGGATGAGTTAATTGTCCAGGATGAGTGTGGCTACCAGGGACCCTGCATAAAGTTGGACAAGCACCAGCTGTGCACCTTCGTGCCGGAGGCTGTTAAAGAGGAGCTGCGCAGAGGAGAGCCAAGATGAAAAAGATCTAAGACAACTCATCACCTAGAATGTTTTTGAATTTGGACTTGTTTGATGAGATGGCCAAAGAATGGGAGCTCCCGCAGGACGTCCTTCACTCACTGAGGTGCAGAATCCGACGCAAGCTCCAACTCCTGGAATGGGAGCAACCACAGATGACTGAGCCCGACGCTTTCTTCTCCAGGGATCAGCTGTTGAGAAATTCCTCCTCTAGACTTGTGACGTCTCTGATGAAACGGATCCAACGGGAGTGAGCCAAACCAGCAAAGGCCTTGCGGCCTATGCGCAATCTCAAATTAATTAGCATAGTTGGCTACGTGCTGTGCGAAATAAGTTCTACATACATAAGGGCTTGATACGCACTGGATGAACCGGATGCCAATAACTTTTTGTCGGTGCCATATGGAACACTGCAATCGTGGCGAAGATGCTACCAGGACACCCTGCATTACAGGAGGAAATTTTCCAGGCCTTGCTCGATACAATGAACAGGGCCCTGGACAAGGAATTTAAGAGGGTTCACCATGCAGCAGCTATCATAACAAGTATCACAGCAGTATAAATATATTCTGATATATATTAGCAGTTATAGCAGGTCTACCTCGGCATCCTGGATGCAGTCAAGTTCGTTATTGACATCAGCAGGGACCTTATGACTATTGCCTTACAGGCAGTGGTAGCCACGGGCCGGGGCCGAAAGGTGATTTGGCAAAAGGGTACCAAGTTGACCGTCTTTTCAAAAGCAGTCCTGAGCGCTCTTCCGAGCGACTCGAGAAGGTATACGATGCCGAGAAGGTGGAGCTGCACAAGCCCTTTATCTCCTTTCATGCCTCTGGACGTCTGAGCCAATCATGGAACAGATACCAGCTGGACTTCCAGGAGCTGGCCTACCTTGCCCAAGTCATTGTTCCAATCTACTTGTTTCCCTTCCACTGTTTGAGATTCTATGCCCTCATACAGTAATAGCAGTATTGCACCTTACCTTTTGGTCTGGCGTAAGCTCCAATTTTTACGAAGCTTCTCGTAATCTTCATGTCGGCAATCAGCAAACTGAGAATTCACATCTATCACCAACTTGGCAACCTTATCAGGGCTACGTAAAGCCCAAGTTCAAGTGGGAGACCGACATCGTCTTTCAGCTGCTCAAAGACCACAGGTGGGTGGTGAATCTGATAAAGTGCCTCCTATATCTAACCCAACGACTTTACCACCTCAGAGTCGACATCTAGGTGGATGAGGGCCAAATGTGTCGGCCAGACAAAAAGGCGCTCATCAGCCAGCACTCCAAAGATCTGCAAGTCAGACCAGTGGCCTCAACAACATAATTGTTGCCCTGGTCGGACCTTTACATGAGGCTGCTTCAGTGGGTTCTGCTGTACTATTGGGACCCTATTCACGACAATCAATCAGTGGGTCATATTGACCGAACAGGCGGTCGAGAGCCTCCCTTGGTGGACAGCTTGAAAAAATCTGAAGAATGGTTGACCATTGGGGGGCCCTCCACGAGACTTCATCCTCTAGAGTGATGCGAGCGCATGGGAGTGGGTAGCTCACCTGCAAATGGCCACCGCACACTGAAGGGAGCCTCATTCTCCAGTAACTCAGAGCAGTGCATATGGCCTCACATAATTTTCCTATCTGGATTTGCCAGAAATCATATCTCATTTGCTGCGACAACATGAGTGGTGGTCTGGATGAGGGCAGGGCATTCGTTATGTTGCTTGCCTTTCATTGGGCCGGACAACATTTGTTTTCCTCGCATTGGACCGGGTTAACATTGGTATTCACATTTCCTGGAGTTTAGAATAGGCCATTCATTGACCCTCCCAGTTGAGAGGGACCTACTGTGGTGGGGCAAAGGGTGTTTCCCAGACGTCAGGCGTTTCCGTTTGACTGCATGGACGTTAAAAGGGTAAGGTTCACTAACCTGGGATTTTCAGAACAGATGCTGGGCAGGTGAGGATCACAGCAGCTGTTTGTCCTGTACAGGAACGCTGTCAGATGAAATGTGGCCTGAAAGGTCTGAATTTCTGGATGGCCAAAGGAGCGCATTAGACACTGCTACACTCTAGCCAGAAAGGATTCATCCGAGGTGTTAAAAGCTCATTCCACAAGAGCAGTGGGGGAATCCTGGGCCAGGGCATTCATTGTGTCATTGGAGGTCACCGCATACATGTGCCAGAAACTACAGGATTGGACACCCTGGCTTTGCAGGATTCTCCTTTGGGAGAACAATTCTGTCTGCTACCATTCGAGGAGTGACCTGTCCCTCCGCCAGTTACGACCTTTGGTATGATTGCTAATAGTGTCCAGCAGCATAGACGAAGATAAAAAAAGGTTTTTGTACCTAGATAAAATCATGGTTTTTGAGGTCATGCCACCTGTCCACTGGTCTCCCTCCCATACATCCCTACATTAAACTCCTCTAATCACTGGGAAGTTGTGTCTGGGTTCATCCCTTTGCTCAGGTAAGTTGCATGTGTTGGTTCTGTTCTCATACCTCCTTTCTTGTTTATTTACAGGTACATGTTGAGTCGTCTCCACTGCTTTGTTTAGGTGTCAGTCTTCTTTCTCACCCCTCCCCTATTTTCCACGTTGGTTTCTCTTGGTTCATGGAATGAGGATGTTACGGTCCCTTGTGGCATATGCTCATAGTTAATACTAATCGACCAGTGGATGGGGGCATGGGCTAGAAAAGCAAGTTTTTAGCTAGGCAAAATACCTTGTCTTTGAAGGTGTTAGGTAAAGTGTTGCTTCTCAATACGGTGAGAGATGGTGGCAGGTTGGAGAGGCCTTCATCCAGCAGTGGCTGGTGCTGTAGCTGATGTTCTCCAAAAAGCCTCATAGAAATTATATGTAATTGTATATCATTTGATATCCTGCATCAAAAGAAAACGGTCGAGGTTATTTTGTTCCATTAAAACATTTTCATCGCATATTTCATGTTCAGTAAACTAGCTTCAGGCTAAATCAACCACAATCGTGGTGCACCAAGTGAGATGCGGTATTCTGTGTCTGTTCTGGGCTGCAGCGACACACAGCACAGCTGCGGGAGGTGCTCATGAAGCTGCCATGCCCTGACGGCCTCGATCCGGATGAAGCAATGACAGCGGCGAACCCGGCTGCCATGCTACACAGCGACACCGCCTCCCAGCAGCCTCTACACGGCAGTCAATTCGACTCGGGCCTAGGCAGGCCAAGCCCCGGGTCTCTAGGTGAAATGATGATGGGTCTAGTGACCGGTGCATCCCAGTGGCCGAGTTTAGCTGCAGAATATCCGGAAGAGACTGAGCTTGTTCCCGGAGATGGCTCAGAGCTAGAGACCAAGGCAGAACTGCCCCCAGCTGAGGGTGGTGTGGATGACGGGACCTCATCAGACATGGGAAAGCTGTGACCGATTACCTGCCTGTTGACATGGGCAATGTAAAATATAACATCGAAAGGCCATTGCCTCGGACTGCAAACACCTTTAGGGAGCTGTGTGCAGCATTGTGCAGCAAAGTGTGGACAAGTGGGACTTGAATAATTTATCAGCTGTTGTGTAATCTTACAAGGAGTTTGAGCCTTCTGTCGGTTTAATTTTCATTGCTGAGAGGTGTGTGATGTGTGGCATCTCCAAATCCCGAAGAAATCCCGGCAGTTTTTTTACTTCCTCTCGTAGGAGGACTGATTTATGTATTGATGATCCCACTGTATACAGAAGAGCACGGTGATTTATTCTGTCATCAAAGGCCCAACTCCAAAATGCTGATCTATCGTGGTATGATGGGAAACATTCACGGTGGGGGAGGGGGGGGGGGTCATATAAAGCAGACACCTAAATGTAATAAAATATCCATAATTTCTGTCTAATAGCAGCAATCTCACAGTTGTTTAATATCACCCAACACTTGTATTATTTAATCCGCGTAGCTTGTGTTTACTTTGGAAGTGTTTGTTATTGTGTCTTGCTGAGATATTTTCACATTTTATTATTTCCATTTGGATTTCTATCCAAGCCATTGATGCTGAAATAAAGCATACTCAACATTCTACTAATGTCTGTGTTTGTCGCTTTGTTTTTTTTTTTCACCCACAAGATTTTCTTTCGGTAATTGCATCAAACATTAAGAGAATGGTACATTCGTTAAAATCGAGCAGGCAGCTCTTGCAGCACGGTCCTCAGCTCGGGGTTAGTATTGGTTAACAATAGGCACGTGTTCTTGGTTCTTTCGGTAAAGTCACGTAGAAGGGAAGTAATAAAATAATAAAAATAAAACATAATAAAATAAAATGATTCTCACGACGTTTCGGCTACAACGCAAGCAGCCGTCTTTAGGTGAAGAAGACGGCTGCTTGCGTTGTAGCCGAAACGTCGTGAGAATCATTTTATTTTATTATGTTTTATTTTTTATTATTGTATTACTTCCCTTCTACGTGACTTTACCGAAAGAACCAAGAAGATGAATCCCTGCAGTCACGAAAGCTTTAAATCGAAAAATAGGCACATGGTTCCGCATTGTGGATCTCTAAAAAGGAATCGTCCTTTGATATGTCCTCATGGGCAGGCAGATATGGCAGGGGCATTCATCCAACTCGCTCTTACACTTGGACAGATGACTGCAGCTTGGAGCCTGGCGTACGGTGCAGTGAAGGACATGCTGTTCCTGATCCGAGACCAGTGTCCTTTGCGTATTAAGAATTCATGCTGTTGTTTTCCCTGCTCTCCCTTTGTTATTCTGTCGTAATTTACTCAAATGTGTTGGGTAAAATAGCTGTGAAAGTAGTGTAATGCTCTGCGGCAGCTATAACCACATCAGTTGGTGAAATGGATGCACACATATACCATAATTTACCCTCGAATGTTGCATGTTGCTCTGGGCTCAAGAAAGAGATTCCATCCATACGTGGTATAGCACGTCGCTAACGCATTTGCTTTTTTAACAACCCCTATCAATACGCCTCGAAAATGTTTTTTTAAATATGTTCTAGTTTTTGCACATCCTATAATCATTTTTTTATGTCATCTGCTTTTATACCATAGACATTTGTCACGTATAATTAGAGGTTTTTTTTATAGTTTAATAATGCATTGCTTTGTCCGCATGCTCCGTTTCTCTATCCTAAGAATAGAGAAAAGTGATGTTGACAGTCTTTACGACTGACTTGGACTTTATCTGTTGGAAAGGTGACGAACAGTTGTATCTGAGAGAAACACATCTGGTTTAGCCATGCTGAAGATGTGTTATCATTTCGGTGCTTCCTGAAGATGTGGGTAAAATGTCCAACCTTTAACCTTTTTGATCGTGATATCTTCGTGTGATATGACCGTAAATGTTTGCTAGCCGTGAGGCTGATAAATCCTATAAAACCAATAGTTATTTTTTTGGATACCACTTTTTCAATTTGTGCCAAAAACACACCATAATAAAGGGTTTGTGCAGCAGAGATGGTTATCAAAAACGAATATAGGACGCAATCGGAGAGGAGCAGGTATTGACGGTTTAAAGGGCCTCAAAATATTAGCCAGTAAAAAAACACACTTTCCTTGTTTATGGTGTTTAATCTTATCATGTGATGAAGTACGATGAAATATGTCTTAGCAATCTGATAACGCCACAAGATTGTGTTAAATCAAAGAGGCTATACACCATGCAGCCAGCTTAATCTCTGCATCTCCAAACGTCCCCTTTTACTCTTTAAGGACTATACAACAGGAAAGACGCTACGGTTAAAAATCTCTGTTTTATAAGCGATTTGTATTTTCTGTGGAAAATGTGCACGGCTAATATCACACTTGTGCAAAGTTTAACTTATGGGTTGTAAATAATCATTGCTTCATTGATTGATTGGTCGATTTTGCAAAACATCCTTTGCGCTGTAAAGTGTGCATTAAAGTGCATCAATGAATCCTGAGTTGTATGTCACAGTTGCACATATGCTGTGACGCAGCTGTAAACATGTCGTAAGTCAAAGTATCTGCTAAAGTTATTACGATGTTATTTGAAAAAGTAGTGTTTCAGTTTGCGATCTGGCAATTGATGTAAGCTTGATACTTACAGTGCTTTCACAGCTTCATTCTGTCTGCCCATCACAACTTTGTAAAAGATTCGAAATTTACGTTGAAAGTTAATGAGAATCTTTTACCAAGTTGGAAAAGATTTTCGCGATGTGTTTCAACATACATTCTTTCCGTGTAAATATTTGCTCAATTTTCCTTGGAATTTTCGCTTAGGGTTTCTTTAAATGTGAGTTATCTGGCAATCTTCTTTTTAGAGTTTCATTTTTTTTGCTCTCAATGCAGTGACACATTCATTTGGTGCACAGGGATTGATGCAAGCTCACAAAGCCACCGATTTTAGTTTAGGAGGCTTGCAACCAACAGGATCCGCTCCATTCGTCTCAATCTTGATCAACCTGGCATTTGGAGAGCCCTGCAGGGATGGATGGGGGGGGGGGGGTAGCAAGGGGTGCCACGGCAGCAAGATGTTAACTACCTCACCTGGTATACAGGAGGTCATGGGTTTGGGAGTTGGTATGTTTTCCCTGTGGTCGCGCAGATTTTTCTTCGGGTCCTCCGCTTTTTCCCTCCACATTTAGAAACATGCGTTTAGAGTACTTTACTGCTATACACTTCCACAAGATAAGCCACTTTAGTGAGCTATCAATTGTGGCCAGGTCACTTATGAAAAAGAGCTAGATAGCTCAGTGGGCCTTCCCTAGTAAAATAATAGGGGTTTGGCCATTTCCAACTGCGGCACTTACAGGACGTAGACTCTACCGTTTCTGGTAAATTACAGAGATTTGGACAGCTGTACTTGTTGGAACAATTAATTGCTTCGGGGTTTTAAGTAGACATCGGGATTAATTAAACGGAGAGGACACTCGCAACGGAGGAGGGTGTGGAGTTGGGTCACCACCCGTCCCTGCAGGCAAGACGGAGTCCAGTTGGGGCCGCAAGGCAATAAAAGGCCACGAAATTAATTCCGATCCTATCAGCCTTTAGTAAATGGCTAACTGTGAGCGATTGGCACCATCGCTTGACCCTGAGGTACCAGAGGTAAACCTGACCGATAAGATAAGCTGCAAGTTGATAAAATTGTCTCTTAAGCTGTTTGAGTCAATGTGCTGCACATTGTTGTCGTTGCTGCCATTGAAGCACAACTGGGACCAACCTGTCGCTGCGCTGGTGGCTGTGAAAGGTGAAGAGGTGATGCAGAGACACCGCAATGTGTACAACCTCCCCGATTGTTTGCCATTACAATGATGAAACGCATATGAGTGGATGAGAATAACTTTCAATCGTTGTCATTGAGTGTCATTTACGCAAGAAATGTATCGCGAGCTTTTACAAAACACTTTGTAGGTGGAGGGACCTTGATGACGAGTGCGTTCAAGTATGCCAATGTCACATCGTAGTTCGGAATCTTTGTAAATTCCAGTATCGTTCATGTTTTTCGGTGAAGATGACCGACAGGACAACTCCACATGCAATGTTGTACAAAACAGAGGAGTCCCAAAACATATGGCTATGTCAGCGTTCTTCATTGCCAGGTCTGCGGGCCCCTGGTGGCTCCTGGTGGCCTTTCGTGCGGCCCCCGACAATACACGAATGTGAAAACGCCTCCCGTCATCGTGCTACTGTCAAACCCAAATGGTTTCAAATGTGTGGCGGCCCTCACACTGGTGATGTCTTATCGGCGTAAGTGCACCCTCCCCTCCCTTCCCCTCTGAAAATCAGTGAAGAATACTAGGCTCGATACGACTGGTACAAAAAACTCGCATGGTGTTGAATTCAAACTCCTCTTTATTTGTATGTGGAGGGAAGAAGAGAGATATTTCACATCTCCGCAACCAGCCAAGATGTAGCATGTGAGCAGTAGGACGAAGCATGGTGGTGTTGTGATGTTGCCATCTTAGAGGAGAGGGGGACTGATTGCGGTACAAATCGGTGGGGGTAGGAAGGGGGGGTCCGGGTGCACTTTCCTGCCCCCCCCCAGACCGAACCAATACAGTGATTTGAGGTGTTGGAGATTTGTGATCAAGTGTTGGCATCAAAGCTGTGGAAGATAATTATTCGATACTCGGGGGGGGGGCCTCGCTGTGGATATATTGAACGTTGCTTTCGTATGTTGAGTAATTTCTCTACAGCGCTTTGTCAAATCCACTGCTGGATAAAAGATTCCACAAACTTTTCGGTCATGGGGCTTGTTTGACTTTATCATGCTGGTCACTGCCGGGTGATGTGGGTACCCTGGGCTTGCACAGATATCACTTGGCCATGGGCGGGAATCGAACTTGGGTCGTAAGGTTTACCCATCAACCCCAATTAGGCATGTGTGTATGTACGATTAGTAGAAACCAAAAATGAGACGACGTATCTTTGGAAAGCGAGACCTGAAAAAGATGACGAGCTTTATCTAGACAAGAGCTATTGACGTGAATTGGAAATGGCTTAAAATCCTGCGCCGTGTGTTGCGTTCAGATGAAGCTTGACAAGTCGGGCAAGATTTATTGTCAAGGATGAGGGATTTCGTGCATTAAAAATGCACATCTTGAGATTAACATTCATAAAGTAAAGTGGAGAGCGAAAATAGTTATGGGAGAGAGGAGTTGCGCAAATGCAACTTAAGAGTTGAAACGTGGCCATTCATTCATTGGTCACTGCATCAGCCACGTATTGTCCCAGTGCTCCTGCTTTCTCACTATCCAGAAGGGTTGCTGATGAGTGCTGACGTTCTCAGACTCGTGAACGCATTGTTGGTATTTTCGCAGCCGAGAACACGTGTGCTTGAAATGTTCTGCAATGTGTGCATCGAGTTTGGCTGCTCCGTTGGGTGGAATAAAAGCTGAGTCGAGGAATGCAGCAAACTGCCGTCGCGACTCGTGTCAAGACTGCAAGTCTCTACCATTACAAATAATGAGCGTGTAAAAAAAAATGGGGGAAATAAAATATAATATTCTATTGAATTGTCTTCAAATATTGCATTGTGCGTCTGTTTTTAAAATGAGAACAAAAAATCAATTATGATGCTGCTTTTGAGACCGTTGCATT